TTCCAGACAGCCTGGGCCACAGAGTGACACTCTGTCTCAAAAGCAATAAAACAAACAATAAAAAGTCCTTCTGCCGGGCAGTGGTGGCGCACACTTTTAATCTGAGCACTTGGGAGGCAGAGGCAGGTGGATTTCTGAGTTTGAGGCCAGCCTGGTCTACAGAGTGAATTCCAGGACAGCCAAGACTACACACAGAAGCCCTGTTTTGAAAAACTTTTTTTTTTTTTAAAGAGGTCCTTTGAGGGCCAAGAAGTTAAGATCAGGGAGATCCTCCATCCTGCATCCCTGCCAATTGGTTCCTGTGTTGGTGCCAGATGTGGTGGTAGGTACACTCCTTTGATCCTAGGACACAGGAGACAGAGGCAGGTGGATCTCTGAGTTCAAGGGAAATTACCTAGCAAGTTCTAAGCCAAAGCTACATAGTGAGATCTTGTCCAAAAAAGGTGGGGGGTGTGTTATGGTTAAAATGAGCTCTATAGAAAGTCTGGGAGTGAAAAAGAAAGAAAGAAAGAGAGAGAGAGAGAGAGAGAGAGAGAGAGAGAGAGAGAGAGAGAGAGAGAGAGAGAGAAAGAAAAGAAAAGAAAGAAAAGAAAGAAAAGAAAAAAGTCTGGGAGTACAGAAATAGAACATAAGGAAGGCTGGGTGATCAGCCACAACAAGCGGGGCAGCTTCCAAAACCAGGCCCCAGGCCTCTGAAGGCAGAGGGACAGACATATTCTTGGGCCCCTAAATCCTAGGTTTGGTTTAGGGAAGACCACTATGGTGGATAATAAGCTAGAGCTGCTACTGCTTTCATTTTATACACAAGGAAAATGAAATTTAAGGAACTGGAAATCAATTACTAACTTACACATGCTTTTGCTATTCCCTCCCCAAGTTGCTCCTGTTCAGAATAGGCAAGGGGCTGTGGGTTTGGAGCTGGTGAGCACGGTAAATCCTAGGACCTCTGGGGAGAAAGCCTTCCTCTTTGTGGTCTTAGTTGTTTGTTGAGACAGGGTTTCTCTGTGTAGCTCTGGCTGTCCTGGCACTTGCCCTGTAGATCAGGCTGGCCTTGAACTCATAGAGATCTACTTGCCTCTACCTCTTGAGTGCCAAGATTAAAGGTGTGTGCCACTACCGCCTGCTCTCTTTGCAGTCTTAATGGGAAGTTCCAGGCCCAGGTTTTCCTCTGAAGAGCCAAGCTCCAGGCTAGCACTCTATCCTCTCCCTGTGGCCACAGCACCCACCTAGAACTGCACCACTCAAGACCGTATGTCCAGATGAGTAAGGCCATTTTCTACACTCTCTCTGTACAAACCCGAAACACTGAGCACCCATGTGCCCACTACAGAGACCCTAGCAGTAACACTGCAGTACTTTCTTGGTTACAGAAGCTATCCCTTAAGCCATCTTTTATTTATTTTATTGTTATTCTTGGGTTTACCTTACTATGTTTGTTTGTTTGTTGTCTCATGTAGACCAGGTCCTTCACAGTGCTCAGCAGCATGCCCTGCTCTCTCTTTTTTAAACATTTTTTTGTGTTTGCAGAGGTGGGGCGTGCACATGCCACAGCATGCATGCAGACAGAGGACAGCTTCTAGGACTCAGTTCTCTCCGACCATCATATGGTCTCTGGGAATAAACTCAGGCTTGGCAGCAGGTGACTTAACCCTCTGAACCATCTCACCAACTCATCCTGGATTTTTTTTTTAATTATTTCTAATTGAAATGTAGACATCATTACATTTCCTGCTAAATGTCAGCTTTTACATCATTGAGTAAGTTGAGTTAAATATTTACTTATACTTCATTTACACACAATTATTACAGTTGTAAATGCAGGTCTTTTACATGTATTTGCCAAAGCCACATTTTACCATTTCTTTGTAGACTGAGCTGGCCTAGAACTTAGAAGGATCCTTTCTCTGATGCTTCCTTAATGGTGGAATTATAGGTATTCTTCACCATGTCTTACCCACCACTATGTTTTTGAGGTTGTGTTCTCACATACAATAGTTCACGTGGATCAGGTTGGCCTCAATGCACTATGAAACCAAGGATGACCATGATTCACCTGTCTCCACCTTCTTGCTGGCTACACAGTAAGTTTCAGGCCACCTGGGACTAGATATTGAGACAGTCTCAAAGAAACAACCAGACTGAGAATATTCTTTTAAACACTCTTATAGAGTGCTTTCTTAGCATGCAGAAAGCCATGGATTTGATCTCCAGTGCCATATAAAAACAGACTTGTGGCACATACTTGTAACCCCAGCATTTGGGAAGTCGAAGCAGGTTCAGAAGTTTAAGGAGAGTCTCTGATATAAAGTTGAAGGCCAGCATTGGTTTCAAGAGATTCCGTTTCAAAACAAAACAAGCTGGGTAGAGTGGCACACACCTTTAATCCCAGCATTTGGAGTGCAGAGGCTGGAGGATTTCTTTGGTCTATAGAAAGAGTTCCAAGACAACTAGGGCTAGTTAGAGAGACTCTGTCTCAAAATAAACAAACAAACAAAACACAAACAAAAATCCCAACAACAAAAAAGACCACAATTGTGTTGTTTTGTTCTGTTTCTCTAGATAACCTTTACATTTTAGAATTGTCTTGGTGCCGGGCAGCAGTGGCACACGCCTTTAATCCCAGCACTTGGGAGGCAGAGCCAGGCGGATTTCTGAATTCGAGAGTTCGAGGCTAGCCTGGTCTACAGAGTGAGTTCCAGGACAGCCAGGGCTACACAGAGAAACCCTGTCTCGAAAAACAAAACAAACAAACAAACAAACAAAAAGAGTTGATTTGGCATCACAGAGTGTACAGAGAGGTGCTGTGTAGTCCACTCTTGTTTTCCTTCATGGTTAACATCTTAAATTTCACAGAACTTTTGTTATACTAAGAACCCACCCGGGTGGATAGTACCACTAAATTAATGGGAGACTTCACTGGGACATCTTTCCCAGTCATGGCTTCTTCCAGGTCTAACCTAGGGTTCCATGTTATACTTGGTCTTGTCTCCCAGCAGCCTCTGCTCTGCATCTTGTATTTCTCCTCACTTTGACAGGCTTATGGAACACAAGGCAGGTCCTCACTCAGTGAGGTTAGTCTGTTTGTCCAGAGATTGACAGAGATTGTGCTTTTTGTTCATTTGTTTTTCAAGAATCCCCAGGGTTCTGGAGAAATGGCTCAGCAATTAAGAACATTTGCTGCTATTGCAAGTGTTACCCATCCCTGTAACTACCACTTCAGACATTTCCCAGGGCCTCCTGCTTTCAAACCCTCTCCTGTGCCAGGCAGCCAGAGGGGAGCTTTTCAATTCACAAATCTGATCATGTTACTACTTGACCTGAGTTCTCCCAAGTTTCTCATGCTTCAGACTCTTGTGAGCTCCATGACCCTGCACCTGGTCCTGCCATGTTACGTCATTTCCCTGTACTGCCTCTCTCACCACAGGATCTTCGGCATGTCCTCTGCCTGGAAAATTTTCATCTAGTCAGTACCTGTCTCCCCTTTATCTGTAGTAGGCTCACCTGCCCCAGGTTAGGTCCTAACCCCTTAACCTCTCTGCGACACAAACCCATTCCAGGTACAACTTCACATTCAGCTGTGTGGCACTTGGTGGGAATGCTACTTCTGCTAAGGCTCCCTCAACTCAGTCTGACCACAAACTCAAAAGGAGCCAACAGTCTTACCCCACTGTCACCCTAAATAGAGCCCCAGAGAGGAATAGGATTTGTCTCATTTGCACACCTGACCCCAAAGTCTACAACCCTATTCAGCCCAATGTACCTGAGCCCTGGAGTAACTGGAGCTGTCAGGGGAGTGTCCTGCCTCACCAAAGAAGGGCAGGCACAGTATTGGAGATGCCACTGTTCTCAAAAGTCTAGAGGCTCCAAGAGTACTAGCACCAATCACCTCTTAGTTCACAGGGAGACTAAGGCCTAAAACATGGCAGGTGTGTAGCAAGAGGGAGACAGATCAGAGGTTGACCTAAACCAAGGATCCAGGTCTTCCGAGTCCTGTCCTGGGCAGCTGTATACTTTTCTGAAGATAGGAAAAGCTAAAAAGACCTTGGAGGAGCCAAGACCAGATAGTCTCTGGACACACTCCTGCCATTCTCTCATTGGAGGATCAATGTTCTATTTTACAAATAGGGAAATTGAGGCTAGGGGCAATCAATTAATTGGACCAAAGGCATACCTGGAGGGCTAGACTTGGATATGCACCCTTAAAAGTGTGTGATGTACCAAGAGTCTATCCACAAAAAGACCCAGGCCAGGACCTCGCAGCATATCAGCAAGTGAGCAGACAGCTGTTCGTCAGCCTGCTTGAGGCAGTAGACACTGACCATGAGCTATGAGGTTTTCTCACCCAGACCATAAGGGTAGGTGAGGAATACATGCAAAATCAGAGTTCACAACTCATCACAGTGGTGAGCTGGCTAGGTCAAAGGAAACAAAATCATACCAGTCACATCTGGAAATAACATTTTTTTACAGGTTAATAATGTTGGCAATAGCTTGATAGTGGGGGTGCATGCCTTCAATCCCAGTGCTCAGGAGACATAGGCAGTCAGGTCTCTGAGGCTGAGATCTGCCTGCTTTTGTCTTCCAAGTGCTGGGTTAAAGGTATGTACTACCACCATCCGACAGATTGTGTTTTCAAGGTAGAATTCCTGGGCTGCAGGCTATGGGGGAAACAAGGCAATTCTGTGTCCTGAGTTCCTGGATCAATGGTTTCTCTAGGGAAGGCTGGATGGGGAGTGCCTGTGGGCAGAGGCAAGGTGCATGCACCACTGTAAGAACACTGGTGTAAACCAGGAGAAGGGAACAGAAGGTAGAATACACATAGTTGCCAGATGACTGGTAAGATCTTTCAAGGCTAGGTATGTGCCAAGAGGGAAAGAGGTCCCTGGGCAGGCTTGTAGATTGGGAGATGCCAGGCAGGTGCTAACCTGCCTGTTTAACTTGGGAAAGGGTAGTATTCAGTTAGGTTCCCTGTGGCTTTTCACACTTTCTTTCCTTGCCAGATCCTGCTCATCTCAGACTACTTCTATGCCTTCCTGCGACGGGAGTATTACCTCACACATGGTCTCTACTTGACTGCCAAGGACGGCACTGAGGCCATGCTTGTGCTCAAGTAGCCCTGGCTGGCACAGAGCTGCATGGACAAGAGGGGTAAGGGCCAGAAGCTGGGTCAGGTCCCTCATCCAGAGTTGCCAGCAGGCGAGTCCTCAGGCAGAAGGTGTTGGTTCAAGTCCAGGGTTACAAATCCCTGGCACTAAAGGGGACTCATAGCTGGCAACAAGGCCCATGGGGAGAAGCTAGGAGCACCCCACTTGGACCCCCCACTTTGTGACTGTGCCCAGAAAGGAAGCAGCCGGTGAGCAGGGCTTTATAGGTTGTGACTACTTAATAAATGTGTGGGTCTTTTTTTCCATTGTTGTTCTGATGGTGTGTATTCCTGGAGTGGAGTGAGCTTGGCCCCTAAGGCTTCGTGGTGTCCTCTACTACGGAGGGGGGCTTCTGGGAACTCAAGGTCCACAGAACACACGGCTGTGTCCCTGATTGAGTATGTGGACCCAGTCACCTAGCAGCCCTCCCTACTCCCAAACAAGCAGCTGGAGGCAAAGGGCCAGGCAGGCCTGAGCAATCTTTATTCTGCAGAGGAAATGACCACAGAGCCATATACCATGTCAAGACAAGGGAAGCCAGCCTTTCAGGGGTGGGGCAGGTCCTGGCAGGAGGCTTTGCCTCAGGTGGATGAGGGGCAAGACGGGCAGACAGGCAAGGGCCTAATGAAACGACAAACCCCACAGAGCAGGGCTGCTGCTCCCCACCCACTCCCAACCCAGCCAGCACCCGAAAGACCAACCCTAATATGACTGGTCCAGGACCTACCCAGGACATGGTAGGCTGGCTGGTGGCCCCTACCTGGGGGGAAGGGGTGTCACATCTCTGCCTAATCCACTGGGGACTGAAATAGCTTAGTTTAGGAGCCAGGACCTCCCTGGGGAGAACCTGACCAGAACTCCCAGCCAACCCCCCACCCCTACTCTTGACTCAGAAGCCGAAGGTTTCTTGGGAGGCATAGACCATGTAGAGGAATCCGTCTTCATCCTTCTCCTGTTCATAGATGTCAGCGATGGGTGTGGATACGCTCACCATGCTGTGCTGGTTCACCAGCAGGAAGAAGGCCTGCGTGGGGTTGAGTTGCAGGCGGCGCCTGTGGAGGCAGGCAGGCATGCCAGGTGAGGAGGCCGCCTGCTGGAGGCCTAGGTGACCCTCCCATAATTATTCTGAATCTTCACTTTCTGTCCATCGCAACAAGAGGCTCACCTCTTCACTGAAGCTCCCTCCAACCCCGACCTTGACCTTTTCCAGCCTCCTAGAACAGGGGCCTGGTGTCCCAAATCATGTCCCCTTGCCCACTCCATCCCTGCTAGTGGAACCTGGTCCTGCCCCACCCAAGGCCTGTAGGAGGCTGCCCACGCACCGGATGATCTTGACCAACTCGCTCATGTTAACATGGTCTGGGACCAGAAACTTGGTCTTATCCAGGACAGGCAGCTGCTTCTCACCCTTGTAGCGCTCGATGATCACCTGGGAGTGGAGTGGGCGGGGGACTCGTAAGCCAGGGGCGGGACCTGGCAGGGCAGGGCGTGGCCGGGGGGCTAGAGACTCACCGGGATCTTGTTGGGGTGCTGGTCGCGGATCTGCTGCACCTCCTTACAGCGGTCAGCTGCGGACAGAGCTCTGTGTGAGGCCCAGCGGTGCTAAGGCCTCCAGCGACTCCGCCTCGCCGATCCCCGAGGGGCGGCTCCGGGCCCGCCCCGCCCCAGCGCCCGCCCCCGGGGCCGTCCGCCCCACAGCCCTCCACCGGGGTACGCGGTAGGGACGCGGGTGACCCGGCCAGGCCTTGCGGCCTCTCCACCCGGGGTCCGGCCGGCCGGTGCCTGACGTCATGGGGCTGACGTCACCTGCGGCAATCGGGGTCGACTGGCACCCCCATCCCTCGGTCCCCGATGGCAGTTCACCCCCAAGGCCTCACCGAAGCTGCGCCGCTGCTTGAAAGGCCGGTCGGAGGGCATCGCGCGGGCCCGGCGGGGCGCGCAGCCGGGGCTCCGGGGCGCGCGGCTCAGGGATGCGGCTGCGGTTCGGCTCGCCGGGGGCTCCGGAGCTCGAGCTCAAGGGCTGCGGGGCTCGCGCTGAGCCCGGCGGTGGCGGCTGCGGGAGGTAACTCGCCTGGGTGACGTCAGGTCACAACATTCCTTAAAGGGGAGGCCGGCGCGCCGCTCCCATTGGGCCGACGGAAAACCCGCCTGCTTGAACCTGTGACGCCACGGCGCAGACAGCCCGGATTCCCGGCGCAGGTCGTAAAGGGGCGGAGCTCCAGGGCGCGTCACAGTCTTGTGACGTCACGAGCGGCGGGCTTATCGCCTTGGCTCCTCAGACTCTGGAACCAGGCCGTTGTCGCCTCCATCAAGTCTCTCTACCCTGCGGAGTAGTTCAAGCCACCTTCACCGAGTTTAGCATTAGAGAACGAAGGTGGTAACGAAGGTGGGACGGGGAGAAGAAGGAACACCCAGAGTTTTAAAAGTTTTTCCGTGTTTGTAAGTGTATGCCCGCGGAGGCAGAACATAGCGTCGGATTTCCTTAGGCTGGGGTTAACTAGCGGTGCTGGGAATCAAACTGAGGTCCTCCTCAATAATAGCAAAACCTGCCAAGAAATAATTGCCTGCCGAGCCATCGCTCCAGACCCGGACCTAGGCTTTCAAAGAATTCTGGAACAGCCATAGAAAGCATAGATTTCCAATGTGATGTTAATAAGCAATTTAGATAAAGCAGGGAAAAATCACTGAATGAGAGGCTATATCAGCGGTTAACCATGAGATGGAGACCATTCAGAATTGACAACACACGAAGTCAGAATTTACAGGTAGAGCCCATTGGTAGGATAGGAAGAAGTACGGTTTGGGAATGTTATTCAGGGTCAGGATACGATATTTGCCTAGCAGATGTGAGGTTTAGTTCAATATCCCGGGTTTTGTGGGGTGGTGGTGGTGGTGCGTGGATAGAGGGAGAACACAACACACAACGTACACGGAAAGGCAGCCCCTTGAAGAACTTTAAAAATTGATTAAAAACCAGGATTAATGCCAGATGTAGCTGGCTCTCATTTGTAGTCCTAGCTCTGTGGGAGTTTGAGGCAGGAGGATGGGCTAGAGTTGAAGGAAGAAAAAGGATAAACAAAAGAATTTATGAAGGACCATTGCTTGAAAAAAGTTAAAAGTTTGTACGGAAGAAACAACATACAACTCAAAGGCATGAAATTCGATGGAAACTGGAAATTAACAGATGCATATGTAAGTAATTCCAAACAGCTATATGTGGACATAAATAGTAGTGATTGTGGGGTACAAACACGTTGCTAAGGTCACAAGAATTCAGCTAAGATTGCCTTAAAGGGACTGGGTGGTGGTACACTCTTTTTTTGTTTGTTTTGTTTTGTTTTGTTTTTCAAGACAGGGTTTCTCTGTGTAGCCCTGGCTGTCCTGGAACTCACTCTGTAGACCAGGCTGGCCTTGAACTCAGAAATCTGCCTGCCTCTACCTCCCAAGTGCTGGGATTCAAGGCGTGTGCCACCACTGCCCGGCTGGTGGTGCACTCCTTGATCCCTGCACTCAGTAGGCAGAGACAGGATTATCTCTTGAGTTCAAGGCCAGCCTGGTCTAGATAGTGAGACCTTGTGTTTTGGGGTTTGTTTTGCTTTTTAAATGTTCTAGGGAGCTGGATTTGTTTGGAAAGACAGTGATTATTGTCTGCTTGGTCAGGTAGGGTGCTTGCCCTCAAGCATGAGGACATGAGTTTTTTTCGGGGTATGTTAGATCCTAGAGGCTTCCCCCTACGAAGGGATTCATCCAGGCCTTATATCCCGTTTAGTACCTTCTCCAAGCAGCTAAACTAGTATGTGGCAGCCTCAAAGTGGGGTGGGACAGTAGGATTAGTTTCCTAAATTATGACCTTAAATCCTATTTAATACCTTCAGTAATCTTAGACACCTTCCCCTTGGAGAAAGTCTGTTAGAGCAAGGATTAGCCTTTGTTTTGAGCGTTTCTGCTGGATCTCTGCGGGGTTCCGGCTTCTCTTTCAGCAAGTGACAGGATTACTAAATCTGTCTCAGGACATCTCTCTACTGAACCTGGAAAGATTTTTTTTTAATATTTTAAGTATTAAAATATTACCTGTCTGTGGTGATAGAAGAACAGCTTCCACACAGCAAATAGATAAAAGTAAGAAAAAAAAATAGACACCACAGGAGGGGTCATTAAGAGAATAGAAATGTAAAATATGGTTTTAAATACTGAAATGGGGGGGAGTGCTGGACTCTGAAACGTTGGAAACCAGAAGCAGGTTCTGTAGGGAAATAGGATGGTAAATAGCACGGAAGCAGAGCTGGAGGAATCTCACACTCATCTATAAAACACCATGTGCGGGGGTGCAGCTCAGTGGGTACAGTGCGTGCCTCCTGTGCAGGACACCCTCGGTTTGACCCCAGCTTCACATAGATTGGACATGGTGGCACATGCCTGTCATTCCAAATTTTAGGACTGGCCAAGAAAAGTAAGAAGGATGGCCATGGTGTTTACAGAGGACTGCAGAGGAACAATGTATCACATATGTGTGAAATGTCAAAGTCTGACCCATTTTTTTGTGTGGTAAGTAAGAAGTTAATAAAAACATACAATTTGGGCCAGTGAGATGACTCTGGGTGAAGGTGCTTTCTGCCAAACCTAACCATGTAAGTTCAGTGTGTGGTGAAAGGAGACAGCCACTTTCTGCAAATTGACCTCTGACCCTCACGCTTGTGAATGCAAACAGTACAAGTAAATGTTTAAAAAAAATGAAACAAAAAAGTACCAGATGTATACAGAGAGAGAAGAAGAAATTGATAGGAAATTCACACAAAGTAGACTGTAAGGGTACGGACGCTCGTTATTAAAGGACTAAGAGAGTCCCTGCTTTTTTTTTTTTTTTTTTTTTTTTTTTTTTTTTTTTTTTTGTTTGTTTGTTTTTTTGTTTTTTTTCGAGACAGGGTTTCTCTGTATAGTCCTGGCTGTCCTGGAACTCACTCTGTAGACCAGGCTGGCCTTGAACTCAGAAATCCGCCTGCCCCTGCCTCCCAAGTGCTGGGATTAAAGGAAGAGAGTCCCTTCTAAGTGATGAATGTATTCTCTAAGAAGAGATAATTTTGAACTTCTCCAATCTGAATTTATGAAAGGCTAAACTGGCTGTTGTAAACACCTATAATCCTAGCCTTTGGGAGGTAGAGACAGGAGGAGGATCAAAGTTCAAGGTCAGTCTGGTTAGCCTGAGACCTTATCTCAAAATAAGAAAAATGCTTTTGGTATGCTGGGCATGGTGACAGTGACATACCTG